GTGTTGAATTCAGTAATTTCCACCGTTCTTTATAATTTCCTTCCCTGTATTAACTTTGGATTGTTCTTGGTTTTCTAGAACCTTAATATGTATGATTAGGTTATATATTTGGGCTACTTTTCTGATGTGGTTATTCAGAACTATAAATTTCCCTCAGAGGACTACTTTCATTCTGTCCCACAGCTCCTAGTATGTTATAATGGTGTTACTGTTTCTATATTTGCATAATTTCTGTGTTATCTTTTGGATTTCTAGTTTCATTGCACTATGACCAGATAATATGAATGGTATGATTTTGATTTTTGGCATATTCATAAGAATTCTTTATGGAATAGCAAATGTGTCCAATTTTGGAGAAAGCTTCATGTACTGCCAAGAGTGTATATTCTATTGTTAGTTGGAACACTGTAAATATCTATAAAGTCCATTTTTGCAGGTTTGGTTCAACTCTGATGCTTTTTCAATTTTTGGTCTAGTTGATCTGTTTGTGACACTGGGGTATTGAGGTCCCCCATTATACTTCTGGTGGTGTTTATAGTTTTTATGCCAGTAGCATTTGTTTTGTGAAGTTGGGCCCATGAGTTTCAGTACATATACATTTATAAATATTATCTCTTCTTGTTGAGTTGCTCCTTAATATATAGTAACCTTTGCTTCTTCTGATCAGTTTTGGCTTGAAATCCATTTTGAATTAGAATAGCCACTCCACTTTTTTTATTCTCATTGCATTGAATAATTTTTCATCCTTTAACTTTTAATCTTGTATTTCTTTTTGGATTAAATTTGTTTCTTATATAGTGCATACCACTGTGTTTTGTTTCTTTATCCATTCTGCCATTTTTGTCTTTTGTTTGGGGAACTGAGAGCATTCAGTTATAATTGAAAGCTATTACCACCTGCTTAGTCAGAGTACAGTGGCTGGGATTTGATTCCTGGCATGCAGAGCCAGCCCCACCCCTGGGGTGTGCTGAGATGGCAATTGAGACTGGGCCTGGAGGCATGCGCCTGTAATCCTAGCACTTGGGAGGCTGAAAACAGGACAATCACTACGAGTCCAATCTACATAGTGAGACCCTTTCCTAAATATATATACATAAAAGCTACCGACTTATTCCTGTCACTGTGTTACCTTGTGCTGATTTGCCCCCACCCTCTTCTGCTTCACTGCTTATCCTGCCATGTGTATTCATTCTACTGGATTTTCCTTTTTTCATTGTTGGCTTATCTCTTTCTAGGATATCCTTGAGAACTTTTTTGTAGTGCTAGTTTGATGGTTGTCTGAGCTACTTTGTTCATTACTGAGACAAAATACCTGAGACCCAAAGTTAAAGGCGGGAAGGCACATTTCAGCTCAGTTTGTAGAGGTTTCAACCCATAATTCCTGGGCTCCAAGGCAAGTGGCATAACAGAGGGGCATGGTGGGGCAGAAGACAAGGAGTAGCAAAAATAAGCAACAAGTGACAAGCCATGAACATGGCTTTTTCTCCTTTATCTTACACAGGTTTCCACACACACCCTTAATCCTAGCATGACATGTGACTTGATGCCAGCATCATGTTCTTGATTCCAGCAGCACAAACTCTAGAACTGGCCACCTCCAAAATGCCCCATCTATGACTGCACAAGGCTGGGCGGGGGGCACATCTAGATACAAGACCTAACAGTGGTCATGAACTTCTTGAGACAATCTGTGTCATGGAAATATTTTTTAATTTTCAAGAAAGTTTTTGCAGGATATGTAAGTTTGGGTTGAAGCTGTTATATTTTAGGGGTTGAAACACTTTGCTTCATGTGCTTATGTTAAGGTTTGTGTTGAGAATTCTGCTGTAAGTTTGGTGGCTTTTAAGTGTTTTGTTGGTTTTCTTAATAGCTTTTAACATGTTAGCCCTGTGTAGGGCTTCTGGTATTTTGGCTATGATGTGATGTGGAGAGGTTCTCTTTTGCTAGTGGCTACTTGGGGTTCTATATGCCTCAATAACTTGTATAATTTTTCCAAATATTTGGAAAGTTTTGTATTACTGTAAACAGACTTCCTATATTACAAGTTCTTCCTTTTTCCATTTAATCAGATTAGCCTTTAAGTCATCTGGCAGCTGTTGAACATACTTATCCTCTTCTCTTGTTTTTAAGGTATCTCTGAGTAAGTGGTCCTTGAAGGCATCCCTATCTTCTAAATTCTGATATTCTGTCCTTCAACTGGCCACTTTTACTACCCATACTTTTTTTTGTCTTCTAGAACATGAGTTTGCTATGTTGTTCATACTGGCCTTGAACTCACTTTGTAGCCCAGGATGGCCTCAAACTCACAGTGATCCTCCTACCTCAGCTTCCCAAACAATGTGATTACAGGCATGTGCCATCACTTGCAGCTGTCCATACTTTCAATGTAATTTTTAATCTCCTGGATTTTTGTTTGTAATCTTTTCATGGACTCTAGCTCTTTGCTAAACTTTTCATTCGTGTTTTGTATAATTTTGTTTAGTTCAGCTAGCTTTTTATGTGCTTTCTGTAAGCTCCTTGGTTGCTTTGTTCATTATATCTATTACCTTTTTGTATTTTCTGTGAGTCCAACGAGTACCTCATTGATCTGCACTTCAGTCTCTGTTATCCTTTTGAGTAATTTGGCTGTGTGGCTTTTGCATGCCTACTGCTCAATGCCCAATGTACATACTTTGGGGGAGTTAGAAGCTTTGGGAGGCATTTTGTTGCCATGTCTTCTCATGTTTCTAGTTTTCTTTTGTGCTTAGACATATGGTCACTTATAGTGGATAAATCTGTTGATAGTACGGAGAACTTTAGGTAGTTTGCCTTTCAGTGATGTACACAGGATGTGGCTCTTGTCCTTTGCTGGTATCCAAAGATCTGATCATGTTTGTCAATATGAATGGAGGGATGAAGTATTACTGGCTCAGCCCCCAGTTCTCCAGGAATGGATCACAGTGTGGTGAATGTCAGAGATGTACAGAGAAAACTTATTAATAGCAAGTATACAGCCCTGACAATGTCAAGTAAATCAACAATAGTAATATCTCCTAAGACAAACTTGGTATTAACATATAAGAACCAATAATGTATGACACTAAATTTAGAAATATACAATTATAGTATAAACTCAAAGACAAGTAAAATATAGTAAATATCTACTTAATGCAATAATAACCTCTGCTAGTGAGGAATTCAACAATAGTCACACAGTGTTACCTAATTGTATAAGATTAATAAAACTTACTGGTTATACCAAGTATGAGAAAATGCAAAAAGATGAATTTGAAAAATTAAAACAGATGAAAAGCTAGAGAGAAAAGTGAGGCAAAAGATCCCATTACCTGTATGGGGTAGAAGAATATTTAGAGAAGTAGAAAAGGTAGCAGGGGGAAAAAAAAAGCAGAGAGGGAAAGAAGTAGAAGATAAAAGGAAAAGAAGATAAAAATTGAAAGAAAAAACAAAGAAAATGGGAATAAGGAAAAGTAGAAAGAAAAAAAGTTCAAAAACAGAAAAAACATTTTTGTCTTTTTTTAAAAAATGAAAGGTTTCCTTCTAGGAGTTGCAATTCTGGAGTCTAGAAAGCCTCGGTTTTCTTGGCATAGCCTTATAGCAGTGGGTTTGTAAGGTGCACCCCTATTCGAGAGGAAAATCTGTGACCCAGGCTGTAGCATGTCCATGCTGTGTCTTTGCTGATGTTGGTGTACAGGGAAGGCAATCAGACCTCATATCCATGCTGTATGTTTGTAGCAGGGCAATGACATAAGTATTTAATGAACAATGACAAGCATTTTTGTACCTAGTTGTTTCTTTTTTCCATTTATGTATTTATTAAAGGGTCTCCTACACAGCTTGGACTCATAGTAATCATCTGGTTTTCAGCCTCCCCAGTGCTGGGATTATACGTATGCGCCACCATCCCTGGACTCAGTTGCCAGCTCAGTGTACCCCGGGGATGGGGCCGCTGCGGCACGTAGGAGTCTTGAGCTACCTCGCGGGCCCTACCCAGCTGTTTTTTTTTTTTTTTTTTTTTTTCCTCGAATGGCTTCAGGGCACTTTTGGCCAGCGGGAGAGTTGTGAGGTTCGAACTCCAGCAACCTGAGGCTGAGAGCTTTGTGGAAGCAGCCACTTAAAGGCCTGAGCTAGGGCCAGGCCCCCGCCCAGCTGTTTTTGAGTGCAACTCAAATCCAATCTGCCTTTTCCCTGTGAGACATGGGACCCATATCCCTGTCTGTGGCTGCCTCCAATGGTTCTTACCCGGTCAACCATGGGAGTGTAACACTGGAGCCAAGTAGTTTTTCAGTTGTTCTGAACCCCAGATTTAAATAATGCTTCACCTGCTTCCTGAATGGCTTGATGAAGTAGTCTTGAGACATGGTGGGTGCCTGGCAAATGAAGGGAGTCCTCTAGGAGCAAATAGTTTTTGTAGTTCACAAGTGCCACTGGCTCTGCCACTGTTTTCCCTGATCTCCCAGCTTTAGGCACTAACCTTCCTACTGGTGAGCTTGGTTCCCTTCCTGTCAGAGCTCTAAGAGCTGGGGAGAGAGTCCCAGTTGTTTCCTCATTTTCTCTGTGCTGTGGAAACTGTCTTCTCACTTCTGTGTAGCTTCTAATTTTCCTGTCAGTTTCTTCCCTATTCCCAGTGAGCTGCTTCTTTTTTTTCTTCCACTGTTGCTATTTTCCAGCATTTGGATCTCAGGGAGGGAGGCTGAATTTTGTTACTGATCACCACTCAACATTTCCTTTCTCTCTACATGAATTTTTAAATTTTATTTCTAGTAGACATTAAAATAAACAATAAATGTAGAAAAGAAAATCAAGGTTCAAAGTGAGAGATCAGTGCTCTCTTTGGCAGCACATATTCAAAGTGAGAGGTTAATATTTACAAAATGATTTCTGGAGAGTCCACATCTACATTTTATTTTCTCAAACGCTTATATTCCAAGAGCAGTACAATTAGCCTGTTTCGCAGAGTTTTAATCTTGTTTGCATACTGTTCCTGAAACAGTTTCCTCAGCTTTTGCCTTAACAAATCCAAAGACGGAAGATGATGACAGTCTGGAATATTCAGCATAGTATGAAAAAATTCATTCCACATATCCAGATGAGGAAGCCTAAAGAGACAAAGCATTAATAATGGACCAAGTGCAGCCTTCCACATGCATGGCCACCTTGCTTCTGCATCTGACTTCCCCATGTTTAGTAGGGCAACTGTCACTCAAACCCAACTCTGCACATAAGAATGGTGGAGATGTATCTATCATAAATGCTAGAAATTAACAATCTAATAAAGTGTCATTTTAAACAAACCTTTCAAAAATATGGTGTTTTTTTAGTAGTAGCTCTTTGAAGGAAAAACTTTCAACTTTGTTTTTTAAGGAAATCTACCTGAGCTGGGCATGGAGGTGTATGTCTACAATCCCAGCTACTCAGCAGGACAAGGCAGGAGGACCATGAGTTTGATACCAACCTGGGCAACATAGTAAGATCTCATTTTTAAAAAAAGGAGAAAAAAAAAAAAAAAAAAAAAAAAAAGAAAAGAAAAAGTAAATTGAAAAAGCCTATCTACCTATTTTTGGCTCACTGTCCAAAACGTGATAATCTGGTCACATGGCTCTAAGGAGCCTAATTGCACACGGGCCAAAACCAGCACACAGGCCGGAGGTCCAAGAAAAAGAGCATAGCTCTGAGTTCTGGCCACTAAGTGGTTAAAGTTAAATGCAAGACTGTCAAAAGGCACAACACATTGCAGTTGTGCTCAGGTGGAAACTGAATCCCTATCACAAAGGTCAAGGGCTGGGCTTGAGGCTTTCCTCTACACTGGTGGCCAGAGATGAGAGCCCTGTGAATAGCCACACGGTCCTTCAATTATGGGTAAGAGAAAGAATGGACCGCTACATCTGATGACTCATTGTGCAGAAGAAAGCATAGTAATAAGTTTTTCTCCAAATATGGAATCTACTCTTACGTGTGTATATTGTCACATGATATTTTATAAAATTATTGCCTACTCTTCCTTTTTCTATTTTGGAAGGGGCTTGGAAGGGTGAAGAGAATCCCAGTTTAAGTATTTTCTTTCTTTTTTTTTTTTTGCGGTACTGGGGATTGAACTCAGGACCCTGCACTTGCCAGGTAAGCACTTAATTTTACTGAGCTATCTCCCTGGGGCCCCAGTTTAAATATTTTCAAGAAAGCATATCCTTTCCATTAGATTGTACATAAAAGATTACCTTTTGTGTATGTTTTTATAACTCAAAACAATTAAGAGAAGCATAAGGTATACAAGGAACATACACACAGGAAATACTAAGTACTCAGGAGGACAAGGCAGAAGGACCATGAGTTTGAGACCAATGTCAGCAACATAGTAAGATCTCACTTAAGGAAAAAAAAAAAAAAAAAAAAAGAAGACACCAGCTTGGTCTATCAAGAAATAAGCAGACCAACTTGGTTCCCCTGTGGCCACAGTTAAAAGGGAGGATGTGTATTATGAAATACTAATTATCTTATCATTTAATTATATTATTTAATTAGTATTAAACAAAATACTTCTAGTAGTGTGTGCATACAATATTATGCTGGGAGTGCTGCTCACACCCATTTTATAGATGACAAAATAACCTCAGAGAAATGAGAATTAAAACCCTGACCTGTAACAGGAAGCTCCCCTGTACTACGTGGGCTTAAAAGTCTACTCATCTACATTATTTCCATTGCTTCTTATAAGAAACATCTGGGGAAAACAGAATTGGTGCTGTTCTCATTTACAGGAGAAGAAAACAAATAAACAAGCTAAACCCTGAGGCTCAGTGATGTTAGAAGAGGTAAATAACAGGCCAGGAAAATTTTAAGTTTACAGGACGGCAACGGCACGACAGGAGCCTACAGTGTTCTAGGAAGCTGCTGGGTACACCTTGGTCATAAGCAGGGAAGCAGAAGTGGTGATGCCACGTAACCTGCTCACCGCTCAGAGCCAGGACTCTGCTCTGTCACCACACCACCCAAGGCACAGGGTTCTGTGGGTGGCAGAGATGGCTTATACACCTGATAGAACCTTCTATTGTCCTGTATTGTCTTCGCACTGTGCATTAATGCTAACACTCACCTTCTAAAAATACCGTCAGGCTTCCAGACTCCTCCCTCATTTTTTACTTTCATGTAAGTGCCAAAAAGCATGCAGTACACTGTTGCAGCAACCCCAAAGTAATCAACCTGTCCAGAAAGCAGAGGTGTGTGATTTGAACAGCAAGTTACATGTAAGCATATTAAGATGTACCAAACCAAGGAATCAGATTCACTTGTAAAGAATGCTGGAAGCCCACCAAATTAACTATGTAAGCTCAGCTGGAGACTTCCATGGGCAGCAAACCACCAGTGCTCCTGAGACAGCTCCCATGAAAGCCCTGGTCTTGAGCTAGTATCCTTCTCCACTCCTTTGTTCTGTCTCATAGAGGCAAATACAACACCTGAATCCCTCAGCTTGACAGCCCTCCCAGCTCCCTTTCCTGGGACTCTGGGGGTTACTGGGACTACTCTAAGGCCTCTCTGGCTCTGTGAACCATTCCTGACTTCAGCATGGACCAAATCTGCAGGATAGCAGACTGTCTACCTTTGCTCTTCCTACCTACCACCCCAGGAGGTGCTAGTCCAGCAGTCAGCAGCCTAAGGCCGTAGAAGGCAGCAACAGCCTACTAAAATTGAGACTCCCTCCTTTGCCTTCTTCATCACAGGCTTCTGTTGGTTATGTGATTCCAAGTTCAAAAGTTTACATTTATGCTGATCAGAATCATCTTTACTTGTCATCTAATATTCTATTTGTAAAAATTATAAAACCTCTCTTTAGGACAACAATGACCTATTTCTCATACTTTTTGGATCAGTTACTGCATCCAGAAGAAATTTAAGTATGCCATCAACCAATCAAATCCACCTCCTTGTCTGCAGGAGCAGCCCAGGGTCCCACCAGGGCACGGGCTCAGCTTCCTGCAGCTGGCACTATGGGCCTCCCTGTTAACTGTGGCCTCAGGGGCACCAAGCTAGTCTGCTTCCTTCTTGATAGACCAAGCTGGTTCCTTACAGCATGACGTACTTTTCAAAGCGTTCACAAGCTATTACTTTTCTCAGAGTGAAACTAACAGGATAGATCTGCTTCTTTCCTCTGATAACAGAATCTGACTAAGTAACAGAAAAGGAACATTCTTCAGAAGCAGAATTTCACCCTCCTCCTCAGCCTTACGTTCCATCTTTCCTTCAAATGCTGCCCAAGAGGTCAATTCAAACTCACTAGATTCCCCAATTCATGATGAAAACCTGCTAAGTGCAATAAAAGAAACTGTTTTCAATTGTATTGCTCTAGATCCATACCTGGTAGCTCCACGGTTTATTACTGAGCATCTCAATACACTGAAAACCAGATGTTTCACACCGCGCTGTAAATGTAGTTCCTTTTGGAAAGAGTTTCATATCTATACTCTGCCCCAGGTCAATCAGTGCCAAGCCAGCAGCTAAATCTTCATCATCATCATCCTGCTCCAAAAACCTAAAGTATAAACAAGGGCGAGGATCCATGAATACAGGTAAAAGGGTGCTAGGGAAATGGTAAGGAGAAAACCATTCAGAGGGCCACGCTTGCCTGTTTCCCAGGATGAAATTGTCTGGCTTAATGTCTCCGTGGATGATTTCACAGCTGTGGACTTGTTCAATCATGTAGAGCATTCTGATAGCGAAAGCAATGACGAGAGCTTGAGGCATCACTTTTTCAGGGGTATTTTTATAGAGGTTAATGGCATTCTAGAAACAATGCAAATAGTATCCTAGTTGGTTGTGGTGCACTAATGAAATTTCAAGTCAAAAGCTCTGCCCCTGCCTATCATCCTTGCAAGGTTTCCAGCTCTAAGAGTTGTGCATAGATGCAAACCAGAAATGCACTTCAAGGGCCAGGGAGCCGACTCAGTGGAGTAAGTGCTTCCCTGGCAAGCGCAAGGGCCTGAGTTCAATCCCCGGTTCCGCAAAAAAAAAAAAGAAAAAAGAAATGCACTTCAAATACATGTTCATATTATGAAAATGAAACACTTACTAATAATGTTCCATAGCTGTAGAGATCGCCTACTAAAATGCTGCCATTCTGAAATAAATGTGCAGAATAGAATTTGATAAACATGTGTCGTGCAGTTGGCTTCAATCTCTCCATCAGCTGGGTCCCAATGTAGAATTCCCAGGGGCTGGCAGGCTTCTGGACCTACAAATCAGATTAGGTACTTTGCCATATGCAATCTCACATTACGGAAAATAGCAAGAAGAAAGCAACCTCCATCTCAATCAAAGACAGAGGGAAGAAAGCAATGTCGGACACTGAGCAGTTCCGAAGGGGCTTGCCGCAATTTTATGGGCCAGGCAATTATGAATCCTCATAAGATAAATTTTATTTCCTAACTGCTGACTGTAGACCTCAAAGAGAACATTGCTGTCTTAAAAATAGAAAATACAAAAAAGAGGCTGACAAATTGAAGTTGTAAAATGCATTTCTATACTGTATAAGAAGCTACTCAAGTCACGCACCTTTAAAACGCACTTCTGTTTGGTCTTGGTATCATTCACATCTCCACAGGTAGCTTCGTAGACTTGCGCAAAGGCACCTGTTCCAAGAAGGTGACTGACATAGACCAGCAAAGAACCTTGGAAGACAAAGGTGTCAAAATGACAGAAAGACTCAAAACATGAAGGACTTATTCAAAATGATAATGTTAAGAACTTTCTTGTGCTTGAATTGCTTTAGCAAATAAAAAGGGATGTAGTCCCTTGGAAAAGTTTTTCTAGATGCAGGTAAAAGTGAGGCAAATTCCTGCCACAAAGAGCCTCCTTAGCAAACTGCTAAGAGGGGTAAGAGCAGCTCGGTGGCCGAGGTTACCTAGGAGGTCACTCATCTGCCCAGCCGGGTTCTCACATTGTAAAAGTAACATGTTGCCTGCTCAGCATGACTGCTGAGATACTAGGAAGAACTAGTAGATACTAGGAAATCCTTAGAAAACATTTGTTTTATAATAAAGTGAAAAGGGTAAAACATAATTGCATCAATATTTATTTAAGATGTTTATCAATTTATTTCAGTAGTTTTTTTTTTTTTTTTGGTGGTACTAGGGATTGAACTCAGGACCTTGCACTTGCCAGGCAGGCACTTATGCTGCTGAGCTATATCTCTGGCCCTATTGTGAATTCTTTTATAATCACAGTACGTTTGTCACAAATAAAAAAAACAAACAAAAACTGAGATATGGTACTATTAACTAAAATTCATACTTTATTTAGATTCCACTGTTTTTCCTCAGTATGTGATATTTAGTCAGTGTGTCTCTTAGACTGCCTCTGGGTTGTAGTTTCTTAGACTACTCTTCTTCTTTTTTTTTTTTTCTCCTCTCTCTTGTTTTCTCTTAACTTTGATAGAGTCAACGGGTCTGGTCAGGTATGCTGTAAAATGTTCCTCAAATTTGATTTATGTTATGCTTTTCTGTGGTCCCACTGGGTTCACTGGTTTTGGGGAGAAAGACCATAGAGGTGAAGCTGTTAAGATTCTTAAATTTAAAAACTTAAGAAGAATTCATACATTCAAAATCATATGTCTAGTTTCTAGTCTGGCTTGTAAGGAACTTGAAAGTCATCATTCCTTCCTCACAATAAGAAAAAAAGCTAACTAACCATCAAGTCTTCTTAGACCAATAGAAAACTGAAGTCAGTTTCCTCACAGGGAAGCTGCTCCCCTGACAAATGGGAAGAAAGACAGGAGGACACAGAGAGTCACAGTGTGCCAGAGCAGCTGCTGAAGACAGCAATGAGGTCACTGCTGTGGGGAGGCCTGTACTTTTCAGTCTTTATTTAAGAAGTCTTCAGAGAAGCCGAAAGATAACAGGGGAAACTTGAACAGCTTAACTCCTTGCCAGATAAAAAATAAAATCCACACTAAGGCCTATTTTTCTTAGCTTCTTTTATCAAGTACATCAGGTCTGGGTAAAAGCAACCAAGATAATCTTTAGTAAGTAAATTAATAAACTATGAGATAAATTCATACAATGGAATATTCAGTGATTAAAAAGAAAAGAGGGCTGGCCAGATAGCTCAGCAGACTGAAGTGCCTGCTTAGGCAGCGCACAGTGGCTGGGTTAAAAATCCCCAGCATGCCATGCCAGACCTGCCTCCAGGGCATGCTGAGCTAGCTACTGAGACTGGACGTGGTGGCACACGCCTGTAATCCCAGCGCTTGGGAGGCTAAAGCCAGGACAATCACTACCAGTCCAATCTACTTAGTGAGACCCTGTATACCCTGTCCTAAGTACAGAAAAATAAATAAATAAATAAATAAATAAATAAATAAATAGAAAAGAGCTACCAAGTCGCAAAATGGCACAGAAGCACTTTTAATGCATATTGCGAAGTGCAAGTCTGATTGGTTACAAAGTGGTGTGAGTCTAAATGTATGATATTCTGGAAACGATAAAACTAAAGGCAGTAGAAGGATCAATGGTTGCCAGGGGTTGTGGTGGTGGGCAGTGGAGTGGGGATGAGTAGATGAAGAAGAGAGTTTTTACGGTAGTGAAACTATCCTGCATGGTACAAAAGGAAGGACACACGTCATATATTTGTTCAACATGTAAGCTCCCAGAATGTACAAAGTACACTGTGGACACTAACAATAATGTGTCAATACTGGGTCATAAATCACAACAAACAGCACATTCATGCAGGATATTAACAGTGGAATCTGTGCTGGGGTAGGCAGATACTCAAAACTCTGTTTACTTTCTTTCTTTTTTTTTTTTTTTAACTCTGTTTACTTTCAGTTTTTCTTTTAGCCTAAAGTTGCTCTGAGAAAAACAAAACTCATTAATTAAATAAAAAAAAGTATTTTGTGAAAACTCTCATTCTCGGCTAGGTATAGTGGTACATGTCTATAATGTTAGCACTCGGGAAGCTGAGGCAGGAGGGCCATGGCAAATTCGAGACCAGTTTGGGTTACAAAGCAAGCTTAAGGCCAGCCTGAACTGCGCGGCAAGACCTTGTCTCAAAAAGATAAAAACAAAAACAAAAACTCTTGTTCCCATGATTATCTATATCCAACCAGTTTCCCATCCCTGGTAAGTCAATCTTAGTTGATTATCCTTCCTGGGCTCTCTAGAAATACTATCAAACAGAATACATATCATCATTTTCCTTTAAAAAATCCCCAAAAATTACCATGATACATGATTTTCTGCCCTTTGCATGTAATAGTATGTTTTGGAGATCATTCCTAACCACTAGGTTTCCTTTTTCTAATATCAATGCCTATATTTTACTATAAATTCTTAAAGGTGAATGGTTATGTTTAAGACTTACGGCAATTTTAATTTTGATACTTTTTTGATAAACTGCCTTCTACAAGTTAAATACACTATAATACCAACACCAATTACAATTTTACAGTCATGGCTTAACAAAATTAACTAAACTTAATTCTGTTTAAGTTATAATTGTTGAAGGGGAAGGAGACAATCTCTCATGCACAAGTCACCATCAACTTCTCCCACACAAACACGAATTTAAAGTTATATTGACCGTATCATTCTTACCCAAACAAAATTCAGTCTTGGGCTTGATGGCTGGGAGTTTACACTGCCATTCAAAAGAATTTGGGTAGGAACTCACTGGGTTAGAAAGCCCAGATAAAAGTTTGAGAATCAATTTTTCATCCCATGGGTTTTCAACAGCGAAGTCTTAAAGGAATAAGAACAGAAAAGAAACATAAACTCAGGAATTTTATCCAATAAAGTTTAGATAAAGCAAGTGCAGATATTCATTAAATAAGACATCCTTAATAGAGCATTCATTCAAATAACAGAGGACTACTTTTAAAAGTCAAAATTGGTAGCTCTGCAATTGATTATTTGTCATTCTAAATCTCTAAGTGTAGAGAAATATTCTGCTGTGACCAAAGACTCAAAGCCTCAGGTCACTCACTCGGCCCTGCTAGATCCAGCTTCACCGCAAGCACAGGTGCATGTCCTAAGGGCACAACTGGATGTCACCTCCATCTGCTGTGTTCACAGTACATGCCCTCAGCTGCTTTCTGCTTATCTTGACAAAACATTATATTACCTAGATGGAAATCTCATATGAGATGTACTTTGGAAACAGTTCTAAAAGGAAGACAAAGTTTTCTCTATAATTTAATTTATAAAATTTCTACTAGTGGCAATTAAGAAAGACTAACCCAACATGATTATCTCATACTGAGGGTCGAGAATGTGCAGAACATTGTTCTGAGTATTTCATATTTATTAACTTAGTTGGTTCTTACCGTGAGCCTCTAAGGTAGGTATTAGCATAACCTCCACTTACAGAAAAAAGAAACAGAAAGTTGAGCTAATCTTGGTCAAAACTATATGACTGCTTAGTGGAGGAGCTAGGATTAGAGCATAGGCTTATAACCTCTCCAGTCTATCCCCAGTCTGTGCTGTCAACTACTATGCCTTACTGTTTCTACATGGCAAGGGGCAGAAAAGTATCCCTTTAACCTTGGGTCTCAGTTAACTTTTATTTACAATGTTATTAGTTCATAACAAATAGTATTAAATATCTGGTACATTGTAGACTGCCAAATTCCAATTCCCTCTTCCAACAGTTATTTCAGTACCTTCTAAAATTAAAATGGATTGATTTTTCCCTTAAGTATTTGTTGCTACATTGTCTTGTAACATAATTATGAGTTTTGTCAGAACTTGTGTTCTACTCAATGGCATCAAGGTCCCCTTCTGAGTTCTCTCAGTGCACAGCTTTTGCCAGGCTATATCTTTATGGTTCAGCTCAGACTGAGCATGCGCACTCACCTGGAGCTGTGATGGGCTGCATCCATTCTGTGCGGAACCCAGCACTGGCCTCCCGCGGGGCCTCCACGATAGCAGGGCCAGAGTCCGGGAGTTTACAGGCCTCAAGGCCCCACACTGCGTCCCGGGTGAGCACACTGCCTGCAGCAGGCTGGCTTGGGTGCGGTAAGGATGCCGAAGCTATGTCTGTCAGCAGGGCTTGTTCTGGGCTTTCCTCTTGAATCGGACTAGACGTGTGAAAAGCAGAGAAAACCACCGCACATGAGGAGAAGCCTAGAGGACTGGAGTACAAGGAAGTCCCACAAAAGTTTCTTTTTCATTTCAGGAATGACATTTAAAATGGCCTTTTAGACCAAGAATTGGTTGAATCATTTTCTTTAAACAAATACATACAAACATACAGCTAGCATGATGGGGTAGAAATAAAATCAGACATGACAATACATTAGGATAAATAGGTGGGGGTGAGACATTATAGGAGGAATGGGTTGATATCTCCAACATGAATCCAAGCAGCAATTCTATAATCAAGACTGAATATTTAAATTCATTTTAAAAATCGTTTTATGACATTGAGAAAAACAAAATGTCAACCATGATCCAACAATTCTGATATAATTCCATGTACGTGTATGTGCATACACAAACACAAATAAAGAAATGTATGCCCATGTGCACACATTAAGTCGCCTCTCATGCATGGCTTTCGTATCTGTGAATTCACCTATAGCTAAAATGAATTGGTAACTCCCAATCAGTACGCATGTCATGATGGAATCATTTACAGACTTAAGAGTGAACAAAAATTGGAGCCACCCAACACACTCCCAGCTTGGGTCAAACAGCAACACTACGCTTCATTGCTTAGCACTCACCTTGTTTCCTTTATGTGGTATAGTAACATTTAAAAATTGTATTCTTGTGCTTTTTGTTGATTTCACTGTTAAAATGTTGCCATGTATACTGCTAAGGGCAGATATACTTCATTTTAGCCAAAAGGCTAAGAAGCAATTATGTCCGCATGAATAGCGCTGAAGTGCCATTAATGTTTCCAAGTACAAAAAGGCTATGCTGTGCCTTATGGGGAAAATGCTATTATATTAGCCAAGCTTCATTCAGGCATGAGTTACAGTCTTGTTGGTTGTGAATTCAATGTTAATGAATCAGTATTATATATTAAATAAGGTGCCTTCATTTAAATTCTTTTTTATTTTTTGTGGTACTGGGGATTGAACTCAGGACCTTGCACTTGCCAGGCAGGTGCTTATTCTACTGAGCTATCTTCCTGGCTAAATAAGGTGTCTTTAAACAGAAATGTGAGCAGAGGCCCACAGGGCTGCATATTCCCACTAGGAACAATAGTTCAGTATCCACCAAGTCAGTGTTCGCATGACTTCATAAAATATATCCAGAGGATAATGAGAATTGATTGTATGTTGTACATCTATCTATATCCGTATATGCACACATAGGTGACTTTACATGGATAATTTATAGATGTGATTTCATATGATGCTATTTCTATTCTTATCATAAACATTTTTCTTTTTGTTAACTAAAACCAATTTTTTAAGTTTAGTTTTAGACTTTACTATTAACTCAGTCCCAGCCCTCATTTGGATTTCAGGTTATTTTCACTACTATCTTCTGCTTCAGGATCCAGTTCTGAATGCATAACTGGATTTAGTTCTCATGTCTCCTTACTCTTCTCACCGGTGGAAATTTCTTAGTCTTACTGTTATGGTCTGAATCTAAAACATCCTCCAAAGGGTCGTGTTCCCAGGTGGGGTTTCTGGAGGGTGACTGGAGCAGGAGGAGCCTTACTTTATCAGTGGGCTAACTCACTGGTGGATTGATCATTTGATGGCATTATTGAGAACTGATGAAAAGTTAGGAGGTAGGATCTAGTTGAATAGTCCATGGGAAGTGAGTTTGGGGGCCACGTATCGCCCCCTTCCCCTTCCTCTCTGCAATCTGTCTCTTCATCCCTCTCTGCTTCTTGGGCACCACCAGGTAAGCAGCCTCCTCCTGTACGTGCTCCTGCCACACTGATGCTTCTGCTTTGCATCAGATCTGAAGGGATGAAGCCAGTGGACCACGGGCTTACCCAATTTCATAACACCTTCACAGTGCCAAGTATTTTGGGTTTCTCTGATACTTTCCTCCTGGCTAGACTGGCATTAATGTTCTCTGGGAAGAATATCTTAACAGTGCAGTGCTCTCCCATTGTATGATATTAACATGCATCACCATAACTTATCCCTGGTGATGTTAAACTTGACCATTCAGAGAGGGTAGCCTCTGCCAGGCTTCTTCACATTCCACCATGATTTTAATGACTATGCACCATTTAACCCAGCAAATGTACATACAACTCTACAATTCTGAGACAGTGAACATATTCCCAGTGTTTTATATTATAACATATTAGATATTAGGGGTACCCACATATACTGAAGAAAATTGTTTCCAAATCCTTAAACATTGCTACCTAGCTTGGGTGCCCATTGCTTCAAGTGCCCTTGAGTGTGATTGTTTCTGAAATGGGCTTGTTCCTTGGGGACACCCTAGGGATTAAGTCCAGGGACACACTGGAGGAATCACTGATTCCCACAGGAATTTCCTAGAGAAATTCGTGCATCTGGCTTGTATGAGTTTTGTCTCCTTGAAACCAAACTGTCACATAGAGAGCAAAGGTAATGGTTTCTGGATGGAGTGTACTGGCTGGCAGTTGTGAGCTTTGTTCCCTGTACTTCTAAGTTCGTGGTATGCCACAAAGGCTTCGGGGAGTCTTGTGAGTCAAGTTGGGCTGGGCTTAGGAAGCCTGCTGCAGGCAGACAGTACAGCTCACCACGCTGCAATGCCTTCTGTTATCAAATCCTTTTACCAAACAAAGACCCAACTAAAAAATGATTGGAAATGACTGGATAAGACATAAACAGAATGTCATGTAGAAAACAGTAAACTAATCAACAATTAAACTACACAGTTTTAACTGAAAATTATATGCAATGGATTTTTGATAGCAAAAGGCAGTACAGCACAGTGGTGAGAACAAAGGTTCTGAAATCAGAGAAACATAGTTCAAATTACGATTTCATAAATTAGCTCAGTGATTTCAGATCAATAATTTATCCCTCCGAGATCTGATTTCCTCATCTGCAGTAGGGTAAAACAGTAGTTTCCACTACTCAAGTTATTGTGAGAATTAATTAAAGGATATACTTCACCAAAAGCATAAGCACTGTGCTTAGAATATAATAGCCAAAAGATGGCAAGTACTTTTATTATCTTTTACCTTCATCAGCTTCTTCAAATATGGTAGAATTTTACTTCTGCAAAGTATTAATGTATGGCAAGTCTGGATTTTGTACTATGGAGAGTTACACACCATCTACTTTAAAAAGAAAGTTTCAAAAAAAAGCTGTAAAAGACACATCACTATTCAGCCAGGGATACACTGCAAAGCCCTGAGTTTGATTCCCAGTATGAAAAAAAAAAAAAGATACATTGCTATCAATTCTCTTCAAAATATCCCTCTCCCCTTCAAACACACTTATGCTATCATTCCTTCTACTTTCTGAAGCAGTTCTGGAAGGCCTTTCACGAGGGTCTTTCTTTCAGTTTATTTTAGTACAGGGTCTAAAGGGTCTCATTACACAAATCAGACTCGTAGTGATCCTCCTGTTTTCAGCCTCCCAAGTGCTGGGATTATAGGCACGCACCACCATGCCCAGTCTCAATCGCTGTCTCAGTGTGCCCCGGGGGCAGGGTAGCATGGCACACGGGGGGTTGAACTGTGGTCCCTGTGTCTGCCTAAGCAGACACTTTAGTCCGCTGAATTATCTGGCCGGCCCTCATAAAGGTTTTTATGAAGCATAATCAAAACTATGGTAAACGCAATTCATAACAGCCAAATCTTAAAAGTGGCCTATATATCTATCAATAGACACAGATAAATATAATGTGGTATTTATATATGATGGAGTACAACCCTGCTATAAAGAAGATAAGTTTGAGTCATTTGTAGGAAAATGCCCAGTTTTTCTTTTCTTTTTGGTCATTTTTAGACAGGGTCTTATTATACAGTTCAGGCTGGCCTTGAGCTCACTTTGTAGAACAGGTTGGTCTTGAACTTGCAGTGATCTTCCTGCTTCAGCCTTGCAAGTGCTGGGATTATGGGTGTGTGCCACCACACCTGGCTATTTGGAGGAAAATGGATGCAACTGGAGACCATAATATTAAGTAAAATAAACCAGGCATGCAAGCTTAAACAGCACATAGATTCTCCTACTATGAGAAACCAAAAGTATAAAGAGCAAAATAAAAAATAGGAAACAAATCTTTTACAATGGGAAGGAGACTAAGAGATGAAAGGAGAGAATGTAAAAAATAACTAAGATGTGTTAGGCACATGTACCAACTCCACAGAAAGAATACAGTCATTATTTACTCCAAATACATACTAATAAAAATAAAAAAGGACTGAATGCCATTGCCAAGTACCACCCAATGAAAGGTGCACTCAAATGTACTATGGTGTGTTCTCATCCTCCTTCTTCCTTGGATCTGGGACCACACAACTTGTGGCTCCTCCCCAAAGTCAAAATGGCAATGAAAGGTAAATGTTTTTAATTCAGGACATAGAGGCAGCCAAAACAGTGCCACTGAAGATACTCATGAAAACATGAAAGAGGACTTCCAGAACTGCTTCACAAAGTGGCAAGGAAAATGGAGCAAGTATGTTCAAAATGAAGGAGAGCATTTTGAAGGGGATTAATGTCAATGTCTTTTACTGCAATAAAATTTTATTTAAACATTCACTGTAGTTTTGATCAAATCTTATAAAGCAGCAATTATGTTTACTAAGTTCTGAACTAGTGGAACTCAGTTGCAGAAAATGTTCCACAGGATTCTCGCTTACCCCAGCTGCTTCTGTCAGTGTCTACTATATCAAGGATCAGGATCTTCATGTGCTCTTATTCACTAATAGTATCTTCTGACTCAACGCTGCGACTCAATAAAGCCTTTAGTCCTTTAAGTTGAATCAAGTCTTCTATTACATCTTAAAAAGCAGAGCTCAAACGATAATGAAGAGAATAACACACAGTACCTGAACTTCCTCTCTTTTGAGGGCTCCACCGTGTTCTCCTTGCAGGAATCCACAGCCACAGGGGTGCACTGTGTTGCCGCCACATTTTCTGAAGTATACAGAACATTCGAGACAGGTATATTACAAGGACTTGTGTGAGCACATACCATTTGACATGGTTACTTACAAAACCTGGAATTCCCTTTTATACTGACTTTTATTAAGTTCAAAATAGTGTTCCATGGTAAAAAGTGCTATAAGATTAAAGGAAAATGGGGAAAAAATTCACTTAAGAAAGTCTGCTACTAGTATACATGAACATCTCAACTCTTTCCATCTAACGCACAATGACTCTTAAAGAAGAAAGGGTTCCAGAGAGAGGCATGTCCACTGGGGCAGGCTGCCCTGACCACAGGACACTGGCAGGGGTCGAGGGCACACGCAGCTCCGGCGATTGCTTTGCAGATGTGGAGAGTGACAGCTGCAACGTCTCCAAAGGGCAGATCTTTGTGTCTATCAGTTTAACAAATTTTACTGAACTCAGTAAGCACTTATTTGATTGAAATGATATAAATATTGGCAATATCTATCACTGTTTGCTTTCACTTAAAAATATTTATATCCTTTGCTATTAGGACCAAAATATAGACTTAACTTCTACCAAGTGATGTGAATAGTACACACAATAAATTATTACAGGATTAAATTTTCTCAGTTTCTCATCGCACAGGTATTAATACTTTTTAGTAGTACAACATTAAGAGTGGCAAATATTGTATGAGCAGCCAATGCTGACTTTGGTTTTTCTCAATGGAAAAGCTTTACATATCTTAATTCAAGTGGTAGACTTACGATGGCAACTTTAACAACAGTTCAAGTTTCAATTAACTTCTCTAAAATTTAGAAAAGAAATATAATATATTGGGTTAGCACTCTAAGAAAACATCCTTTTTTCTTAGAAACATTTAGGTTTATATGCAGGCTATTTATTTTACTACAAAACACTTGCATCTAGTGAAGTGACATTCTCTGACAGTTTTTTCAAGTTTGTTTTGGTGAACAACTGCTATTTTTTAAAATAACTGTACCAATAGTTTGGCTGATAAAGTACGAGTCACCAAAATGGTAAGGTGGCCCCAGATTTCACTGTGCGCTTTGCAGTTATTGGAGACTAAGAATTACCTGTGCTCAACGCAGTGTCACGCGTTAAGAGTTCCAGTTAGATAAAGACCCTTTTATATAGAGGTGCACACCTGGGGTGGGTGGGAATAACTATGTGTGAATTTCACCACTGCTCTTTCTAAGGCAGATAATTAACAAAGAAAGAAAAATGGTGATTTTTTTGTGTGCAGTGTACTCAGCTATACAACTAAGACAAAATTTAAAATTTGTTGATACATGCGAAGGACTAAATTTGGATATGTGTTTTTCATTAAATAGAAAATATAAGTTCACTGTTTTTAATATTCAAGTAATTTTATATGTAGTGGCCTGCTTAAAAAATATAAATATATTCCTATGTAGAGGAATTGTACTTTGTGTATTTGCCTATAACGTTGCTATCGAAGCCAGGCACGGCGGCACACACCTGTAATCCCAGCACTTGGGGGGCAGGGGCAGGAGGCCAGCCAAGGCTACACAGTAAGTGCAAGGCCAGTCTGAACTATATAGAGACCCTGTCCCCCAAAATAAATGTTCTATATAAATTATTAAGTTTTTAAGTACAGACTTTATGAAGACAGTATGCCAAAGGAAACACAGAAACAGATTTTAAGCTTTTTTATAATTTTCAAATTTCCTCTTTTTTTGAATTTTCAAGAAATCAAATATGTATTAAAATATAGAGATTCCTAGAAAACAGCTGCTACAACAATGTAACACTGTACCTTTATCTTCTAGAATGTGTACTGAATCTGCTGGAAGTTTGTGGAATGGTGTAGATGCAAGCTGGGCAGCGGATGCAAAGTCTCCTATGCTCATAGGACTCGGTCCCAGGGTTTTGTTGCAGCGAATACCCCAGACAGTTGAATCATCCAGAAACTCTTCAGTGTGAGGCTGAGGCACTTCCTGTAACACATGATGAACTATGACAAAGCGGCAATCATCATGCTTGGTCTGTGAAGCTTAACACATTAACACCTTAAGATTAAGCTGGGAATAGTAGTGCAGGCCCTAGTCCCAGCTACTCAGGAGGCCAAGGTACGAGTCTTGCTTGAGCCCAGAAGCTCAGCACTAGCATGAGCAACACAGTGAGACCTTCTCATAAAAACCAAAAAAGCCAAAAAACCAAAAACAAACCTCAGAAAACAAAACCAGAAAAACTTTCAAGATTTAAAACAAATCTACAATTAAAAAAAAAAATAATAGCAGTCCTAGCCCCGGCCCGGTGAGTGTGTGGAGAGCTTCCTGCTACCCTGTGCTGGCGGGACCAGTCCCAGCCCAGGCGCAG